GATGACTTACTTTTAAACTTGAAATTTGTCCCGAAGTAGCTGCCGGCTTCTGATCCGCCGTCGTTTTGACAACACCGCGGTGTATTCTGGGTAATTTTTGGCCAAGGCTAGGCTACAAGACACCTCCCGTGTATCCTCGCTCAGCTAGCTAGATGGCTAACAAACGGAGAACACACGCCTCGGTAGAACATGAACATTGGAACACATCTTGGCGGCTCCCGATGACGTATCTCCTAGGCAACCGGGGCGGGGCCAAGACATCAAGGCAGGGTTCCTTGGCATTGAGAAACAGCTAGTCTCTGCTGTTTCCTGGACGCTAAACCAACAACAGCCTTCGCCGTCGTGAGTCGGACGGGTGAGTCCATGAATGTCAGTGACAGGGTGACGTAGATCTGTCAGGCTTTTCTATCCTAGAGTTTCACCGTCTGCTTTCTATCAGAAGCTACTGCAGGAGATGGGTGTAGGAGACTATTTTCGTGAAACACTCGAGTGGCCCGTTAGGATCAGAAATAATCATTAAAACATGTTTTTCAGTTAACTTGTTCTTTAGACAAAGCTCTCCTGCGTGTCCCTGTGACGCCGCTGCATGACTGCAGTCCTGATGGCGGCCAGGTGTGGCTCTGGAGCAGAAACATATCACGACAAGAAAACGTACTAGAGTCTAGTTTCCTTTCTACTTTGATCCTGTCTTAAAAAGGTTTGAACCCAACCATAAAGAGACAATAAAGTCCTTTTATAATGTAAAGTCTTTCTGTAGAAATGGAAACCAGAATAATGAGCTAAAGGTACAAAGACCAGAGAAGAACTCTGCCTTTTTAGAACAGCTCTAGTCTTTTAAAACCTTGTTTTTTCTGAAAAGCACGTCGAATCACCTCAGAATCGCGTTTTAAACGAAGCTGTCGTTCCAACTCAGCCACGGTTATTCTGGCGGAAACGTTCACCGAGTGTTCTAGGCTTCGGTGCAAAACGCAGCAAAAGTTTAGCAACCGGTGACGGCTGTAAAGCACGTTAATAATGCACCTCCTCAGACTAGCCGTTAGCTTGTCAATCTCATAACACTGCACCTTCATTTACCCCTACTGAGGCTGTTCAGAGAACATGACCTCTCGTCAGAAACCCACCTCAAAAATCAGAAATCCACATTCATCCTCTCATGCACACACACACACACACACACACACACACACACACACACACACACACACTGCTGGAGTATAATGACAGGCAGCTCGGAGCCTTTCTCCGCCCAGCCGAGCAGATCTGATTACAGCATCTTCAGCGCCTGTGCCCGTGCAGCTCCACGCGGGCCGGGCCTCCAGCTCTGTGCTCATTAAAGCCGTAATCCATCTGCAACACAACGCCCCGCTCTCGTCGGGCCGATCAGCAGCCTGAAGCATGAGCTGCAGCCTTGCAGGAGGCTCCGTTACGTCATGGCATCACTCTGCAGCACCAGAAACCGACCTGCCCCGTGTGTTCAGACGCTCCAGCAAATATGAGACGCTGTTGGTATACGTGTGTGTGTGTCTGTGTTTAAAAACAAACCACTTTGGCAAAAGCTTGGATGTGTGTGTGAGCAGAGGCAGGAGAGAAAGCACGGTGGCCAGTGACACACCACGAGCGACAGGAAGGGAGAGTTTTTGCACTGACGCACTTCTGTGGAGCACAATGCGGCCTGATCCCCGGTGTTTTCTGACAAAGACCCTCCGGAGCGAGGTGTGTGGCGCTCACGCGGCAGCCTGAAGCCACCAAAGGCACATATTTGCAGCGGCAGAGCAGATGCGTCTGGCAGGAAGTGAACAAGGAAGCTGACAGAAAAGACGGCCATGGTGGTGGATGGAGAGAAAGCTGAGAGCGGGAGGCGGCGTTGAGGCCTAGTACGGCTACGAAGGCCTACCGAAGGCTCTGCATCGGTCTGGTCGGCGGGGGCCAGGGAGTCCAGGAGCTGGTCCCACGGGAGGTCCTCAGATAAGTCCTCACTGGCCATCGATTGCCTCCTCTGGGCCTCACACACACATCAACCAACACACACACCAATTAAGCAACCTAGAGTGCCGCTCCGGCCTCCTTAAAATCCAGGATGTCCTTCCCGCCAGGAATCAAGAAGCCAATCTAAATCTGGAGCGATGGATAGAGGTGGAGGAGAGAACGGCAGTCACGGAGCCCCACCTCACTGCTTCCTGTTCTGCTTGATGCCAGTTAGAAACTGAGGCGTCATGCATTTTGTGTGTGCGCACACACACACACGCACACACACACACTGGCTTGGTTTTGTAAGTGAGAGAGCTCACAGTCACTCTGCTGCTTCCTGCTCCCGGGTCTCTGGAGCAGCGAGACAGGCTGTTGTGACAGAAAGCGGTCGTTTGAGTCCCACCAGCAAGTCTCTCAGCAAAGGGCTGAGTCAGGAGGACGACCCGCTGGGCCACAGGGCCGTTTCAGACTACCAGACAAATAAAAACAACCGAAACGAGGATTTTTACAGAGACACTGGAATCAGCTGATTCCAAATCAGACTCTCTGGTTGGTGTCCAGCAGAGACCAGCAGGTCCGATGCTGAGACCCTCTGAGCCCTCTGGTCCGAATGCTTCACACTGACAGACGCTAAAAGCACATCAGCTTCTTCGCTCTGCTAGAGAGGAACAGGAAGTGCAACACCATGACGTTGAGCCAGTGCGCGCACCTCACCAGTTGTTCTGGTTCAGAGTCAGTCACAAATGTCTAAATGCTCGGAGTCTGCAGCCCCTCCTTACCGGGTCGCCAGGGATCTCGTAGCCTGCGGTGTGCGTCGGACCGGTTGCTGCAGAGACACCAGCCCCCATGCACCCATGCTGCCTGCAACTGTCACAGAAACGTCTGAGCTGCCGTTCTCACAGAGACACCTCCACACTCTGCCGTGGGGCTCGGAGCGACAAGCAGAAATAGATGGCAGCAGCTCAGCGTGTTGACCACAGTAGGAACTGAGATAACATCATTTTACACGCACACACACGCACACACGCGCGCACACACGCACACACACACACACTGCTCTTAAAGCAACAAGCGGACGCTGGTCAGCTGTTCAGGATGGAGGTGAAACCCCAGTGCCGAGGTTAGAAGAGCATTTTAAATCTCTGCCACGGTTTGGGCCGGACAACCCGACGCACACATAACACCAAACGTGGTTCTTGAACTATCAGCGGTTCTAAAATAAAAATAAAAACCTAAAATGTTAAAAATCAATAAGAAAAGTGAGCAGC